AGAAGTCCGAAATAGGAATTTCGATTTGGGATATCCCAAGTTTAACTTGGAACATGGTGACATTTGGGCTACAACATCGATATATAAATCACATTATTTGTTGTACAAATCTAATCCATCTTAAGAAGTACTTTGACGAACTTTAAAATTCATTAATTCATTATAGCATCGTGTCGTTGTAGTCGTTGTACACTCTCATGTATAAATTGTTTTTTTATTTATGGTTCTGCTATTTTAATGATTATAAAATTATTATATGGGGCCTTTTGCAAGGGAAACAAACAATAAAATCTAAAAAGACAATGATTTTTGATTTTTGTGTAATAAGTAGATTCCCCCTTTCTATTGTATATTACTTATAATATCAAGAATAATTTAAGGAAATTTAATTTTTTAATGTAGTTGATGTACAATAAATAATACATGCCAACATTTCGACATCGACAAAATTCTTTTAACGTAATTAGTGAATTTTATGTTACATCGTACTTTTAGTCGCGTTTCTCAAATCGATTTAGAAAATTAATGCTCCTTGTATTGTTTATTAGCTAAAGTAAGACACAACCTTTAATTTTTTTACTTCGTTCCATAAAATTAATTTTGATGATTTCTTATTAATATGAGAACAAAATTACTTTGATTCTTGATCTAAAGCAATGGTTGGATTTAAAGTTGCTAGCCCTGGAATTGTACCGAAACCAAGGTAACGAACGATGCATGCAATGTAATACGATATTCTGGAATCCTTTTTATCCTGGAATATACCACTAATGACTTTATCACGATTCAATTGTATAGATTGGTTATCACAAGCGGAGCCTATGTGGAGACAAGAGGAAGGTTTGAAAGTGTAAAAAGTATTTTTATTATTTGAAAGTCCGTAAGTCTATCACCAAGACTTTACAACGATCGGACTATATTTTTTTTGGTAATTAATTTTCCAGCATATATATACCAAATTTAAACTACGCATTTTCATAATAATAAGTAATACAAATTACATATAATAACATAAATGATAAATATAAAATAAACAAAATAAAACAATACATATGATATGCTATTATTAAAATATTAAAATGGTTTGTTTTAAATTAGGTAATACCAAAAATTGTATTTCAAAATAAAATGAATTAAGAAATCTTAGAAAAAAAATAATTTGGAATCAAATATCAAGAAATATTAACGTGTATTGTAAAAAATAACGTTCGGGAAATGGGAAATTTGATTAAAAGGTCCTTTGATTGAATTATTTCTTGAGTCAAACTAAATTATAATATTTACACTTTTTTATAAAACATACAAACTAATATATAAAGATAATTGTCCGGAGCGTAGTGAAGAACATTATAATTTACAATATGTGATGACAATTAGAATCACGTGCTTTTTCCGGTTATCCGCATGCGTGATTTCGATAAAATGGGGCCTTTGCAATAGAAAGGGGGGAAACAGCCGAAAAAATCAAAAGTGAGTTAATGCTAAATTTGAACATATTCAGCATAAAAATCATATTTGGCATATAAAGTAAAATTAATTTTTCCCGGCAGTTTTCCCCCTTTCTATTGCAAAGGCCCCAAATAAACAGAAAATACGGTCACGTGTTGTAACGACATTCATCAATTTTGTACACACGCGTGACGATATTGAGATTGATAATCGTTAGAACCTAATCTAAAAAAACCAAGAAAAACAAATATTCTGCTACAATTTATCCCTAAAATATCATTCAAATGCGATTTTTATATTTGTTTTTTTGACCAGAATAGTTTTCAACTGTCTTCAAGAAAAAAAATTTATTGACAATTAAGTAGATAATGGGAAAGAAAACTATGAATTTAAATATAGAGTTTTATTTGTTTTATTAGATGTTTTAGAACTAAAATTACATTTCTAGGTATCATGGATATCAATTTTTCTTCTTTTTCCTTTCTTTCTCACAATCTTTTACATTCTCTAATATGTTGAAGTCTCTCAAAACTAAATAGTTTGAAGAGAATATCTTCAAGAGAATAGACCTGAGATACTATTACAAATAAAAGACCAGTGGTAAATTCTTTAGCTTTGAGATCTATTACTGCCTTTTTAATGTGAGTCCCTGGCTTTTGTGTACTATAATGGCCTATGCAGTCAAATGAGAATTTGTATACAGAAACATGTAACTTCAGATTTGCTCTTAAAATACGTTGAATAAGCGCAATTGAAATACTCTTGCATCTTCTAAAGAAGTAATAATGGGATCTTTATAATTATCAAAAGATATAAGTGTTTCTATAGAAACAAAAGGTGGCCCCTGATCTTTTTTGAATAACATATCTTGAACAGTTCCCATTGAACTATTTACTAATCCAAATTTTGTCCATTAGCATGACACATGCACCTCTTGCCAGTAACAGCTTTACTTCAAGACTATGTGCTAAATCAGAGTCAGCTTTTTTAGCTTCATTCTCACTTGTATGTGTGCTTGAATTTTAGTGACAGGAGAATTTAAAGACCTAAGCTGATTTATGTTAATTATATCAACATCAGACTACTTTGTTAGGATAAATATAATGTCAAAGAATTTGTCACACTCTGTTCTACTTAATTTCTCTTCTAGTTGTATGATAAGAGTTTAATCATCTAAAGTAGACTTTTTATTGCATAGTTGTAAGAGAATATCTCTAAAGTCCTATTGTTCTTAGATTGACGTTGAATAAGTTGAATAACATTAAGTTTGTACACCTCTCTAAACAATTTGTATGTTGCAAAACTATTATTAGATAATAGATTTCATAGAATGTTAGTGTATATAGGAAGATCAAGTATAGTAGAAGCTAATCAAAATCACTAAACATAATAATGACCTGCCGCTAAAGGGTTTATTATTGTGCTCAGGAAAAACTTAGCGAAGTCGCATATCAATTATAGCAAATGTTTAGCAACTGACCATACTTTTCTCATCAATTATAATATAGCTTACATTTTTTAGTCTATCTTGTAGCTCATTCAACCGTTCGCCATTTATATCAAAATTTTTAATAATTATTGGAATGCTAATGGCAGGTGATATGTCTTTTATATTGTTATACAATTTTCAAATTGATGTATCTTTGCCAATACAACTCCGATTTTTATGAAATAAAAACCATTATATTCGTCTTATTTAAACGAATCTAATAAAATAATTTTCA